TAATTCCCTTGCTTTATCTATGATTCAGTGAATGTTGGCAATTTGATCTCTGGTTCCTCTTCCTTTTCTAAATCCAGATTGGACATCTGGAAGTTCTTGGTTTGCATAATGCTGAAGCCTAGCACGCAAGATTTTAAGCATGACCTTACATGGGAGATGAGTGCAACTGTCTGATGTTTAGCACATTCTTTAGTACTACCCTCCTTAGGAATATGGATGAGGATTGACCTTTTCCAGTCCTGTGGCCACTTCTGGGTCTTCCAGATTTGCTGACATATTGAATGCAACACCATGATGGTATCATCCTTTAGGGTTCTGAATAGTTATACTGGAATTCTGTAGCATCTACTAGTCTTATTAACAGCAGTGCTTCCTAAGGCCCATTTGACTTCGTACTACAGAATGTCTGGTTCTGGGTGGCTGACCACACCAATGTAGTCATCCCGTTCATCTGGATCTTTTTTACACAGTTCTTCTGTGTATTCTTTCCATCTCTTCTTGATCTTTTCAGAGTCTACTAGGTCTCTACCATTTACGTACTTTATTGTGCCCATTTTTGGGCAAAATGTTCACTTGATATCTCCAATTTTCCTGAAGAGATCTCTATAGTCTTTCCCTTTCTGTTATTTTCTTCAAGTTTAATACACTGTTCATTGAAGAAGGCCTTCTTATCTTTCTGTGCTGTTCTTTGGAAATCTGCATTTAGTTGGCTATACCTTTCCCTTTTTCCCTTGCTTTTTGTGTCTCTTCTTTCTTTTTTTTTTTTTCTCTTCTTTCTTTAGCTAATTGTAAAACCTCCTCAGATAATCACTTGACCTTCTTGCTTTTCCTTTTCTTTGGGAGGGTTCCGTTCACTATCTCCTGCACAATATTACAGGCTTCTGTCCATAGTTCTCAAGCATACTGTTTACAAGTTCTAATCTCTTGAATCTATTTGTTACCTTCACTGCATATTCATAGGGGATTTGATTTAAGTTGTACCTGACTGGCCTAGTGGTTTCCCTCGCTTTCTTTAGTTTAAGCCTGAATTTTGCTATGAGAAGCTGATAATCTGAGCCATAGTCAGCTCCAGGTCTTCGGCTACAAAAAATGTAATCAATTTGATTTCAGTATTGGCCATTTGGTGATGTCCATGTGTAAAGTCGTCTCTTGTGTTTTTGAAAAAGGGTATTTGCTATGACCAATGCATTCCCTTGGCAGAATTCAGTGAGCCTTTGCCCTACTTCATTTTATTCTCCAAGGCCAAACTTGCCTTGTAACTCCAGGTATCTCTTGACTTTCTACTTTTGCATTCCAATCCTCAATGATGAATACAACATCTTTTTTTTTTTTTTTTTTTGGTGTTAGTTCTAGGAGGACCTCGAGGTCTTCATAAAACTGATCAATTTCAGCCTCTTTGGCATTGGTGGTAGGGGCATAGACTTGGATTACTGTGATGTTGAATGGCTTGCCTTGGAAATGCACTGAGATCATTTTGTCATTTTTGAGGCTGCATCCAGGTACTGCATTTCGGACTCTTTTTGTTGATTATAAGGGATACTGCATTCCTTCTATGAGCATGGAAAAATGTATAATGACGTGTATCCATTATTATAGTATCATACAAAGCATTTTCACTGTCCTAGAGATCCTCCTGGTTCCATTTTCTAATTTTTGAGGAACCTCATATTGTTTTACACAGCAGACACACTATTTTACATTCCTACCAATGGTGTACAAGGCTTCCAATTTCTCCACATCCTCACCAACATTTGCTACATTCTGGGTTTTTGTATTTATAGTAGCCACCCTGGTGGGTATGAGGTGGTATCTCATTGTGGTTTCGATTTGCATTTCCCTTATGATTAGTGATGTTCATTCAGTCTCTTTTCATATCCTTGTTATTGGTCACTCACACACTTTTTTTGCATAAATGTCTATGCAAGGCCTCTGCCTGTTTTTTAATTAGGTTGTAGTTTTTTCTTGTTGTTGAGTTGTAGGAGTTCTTTACATATTCTGGACATTAACCCCTTACCAGATACAAGATTTGCAAATGTTTTCTCCTATTCCGCGGGTTCCCTTTCATTCTGTTGATTGTGTGCTTGACTCATGGAAGTTTTAAATTTTGATGAGTTCAATTTATCTACATTTTCTTTTGTTACCTGCACTTCTGGTTCACATCCAAGAAATTATTGCCAAATCCAGTATCAGAAAGCTTTCTCTTATGTCTTCTTCTACAAGCTATGCAGCTTTCTCTTAGAGCTCTTTCATGGACTTTTAACAATTCTTTTACAGAGTTAGAAAGTTAGAAAGTTCCCATTTAAATCTATATTATCTTTTAAAGAAACACATCTCTGAAATTAATGACTAAGAGGTATATATTTGAGGTCAAGAACTGTGTATTTTCTAACAGAAATAGAGCTGTAATAGCAAATGGGCACAGATAACAATAAAAATTATCTGCTCCTTCCAAATCAACCTGTACCTCCAGCTTTAAGTCACCAATCCAAAAAACAATATAGATTCTTTTAAGAAATTCAGAAATTTCAACTTAGGGATACTTTTAAAATTAAAATGCTTAGGCCCCTACAAAAAAGGCTCCCTCTTGATTGCAATTTTATAGTTTTCTATTTATGTTTTTAAATTATTATCTTCTCCAACCTCCACTGCTGTGCTTTTTGATGTTGACATTGTTACTTTTTAAAATGCGTAATCTGCTAACTTATTTTGCAAATAGCTGCCTCAAAAGCCTAAGGGTGCCTTTATCACTAGGCACCCATCTAAGAGGTCTGTTTTCTAAAATAATGTTTATTCATTAACACTCCTGAGCAACAACTTTGTGCAAGATACTATGGGTAATACAAAGCTGCAAAAACTCACTGGAAGGGGCTTCTTAACAAGCCCTGTTAAGGCCATACTCAGTATCATATTCACTTATAAGGATGGGGTCTAGGAACAAAGCATGAAAGCTCAGCATCCTGGAGCATTTTCCCTCAGTGGATCACCGCAGCAGGCAGTACAGCCAACAAGGAACTAGCTCTCTTCTGGCCTTCCAGATGATATGTCCGGATCAAGGACCAAGACTTACACCCAGTAGGTCCAAGAGAACATGTTAGAAAATAGTTCAATACTAGATCATAGTTTTGAATGCCAGGGTAAGACCCATAGACTTCGATTTTATCTTTTTACCATTGATTTCTGAATAGGAGATTAATAAGGAGTATTAACATGGCAGCAGTATGTAAGTTCAGTAGAAGTTAGTTTGGAGACAGGAAAAGTATTACATTCCATTGGTAGAATAATAACAATGATGATGTAACAGCAGTAGCCAATCCTTTTTTTAAAACAAGTTGTATTTGCCCAACACTGTTCTAATCATTTTTCATGTATTAACTCCTCACAACAATTCTATGAGGCACTTCAGGTACAGATACACCTGTTTCATAGATGGGGAAACCAAGGCATGGAGAGATTGAGTAACTTGCCCAGGGTCTCATAGATAGTAAGTAGCAGGACCAACATCTGAACCCAGGCAATCTGGTTCCAGAATCTATACAATTAACCATTCAACGATACTACGTGTCAGAGTACACTAGATATGCCCACACTGTCTGATATTTTAGGAAGGCCCGTAAGGAATAACTCGCTCTTCCCTGAAATCTGATAATGATAGAGCTGACAGTCCAGGTATTAGACTCAGCAAAGCAATATACGTATGAGAGAATGAGATCTTAAAAGAGTAGTTGGTAACTGTTCATTCAGTGTCCACCAAGTACCCAGTACTCTTCATGCATCATCTCATTTAATCCTCAGTCCAACCTAAGAGAGGGCATTATTTGAAACCTACATTGTCTCAGATGAGTAAGTCTAGGCTCAGACAGGCTATACCTCTGTCCTTCATTACAGAGCCAGTCAGCGACAGAAGCAGAATTAGAATCCAGATCCAAATCAGTCCCATGCTCTTCCTACTATCTGATGCTGACGGACAGGAATACCATTGGTCTGGAAGCCTCCATCCTGCTCCCTCAGAAGACCAGCACCTCCATCTGAAACACTCTAAACTCTAGAACCAGGCTGATATGTGTATAGTTATGTTCCTGGGCTATTTCTCCAACCAGTCAGAATTGACACCAGGTGGGTGCCTGAATCAGCTCTTGTTCAAGGCGAGAACTAGCCTGTGAATTTGGGCAGGACAAAGGCAACTCTCCGGATTCACGCACACAAAATACAAACATGAAACTTCATGGAAAAATACAAGCTTGAGGGACTATCACTATGCAGACTTCCTTGAAGAGAGGTTTTTTAAAAAAACAACATTCTCTGAAGAGAACTGCTGTGAGTCATATGAGCTGAGGATAGCACATGGAGATTAGCAACCTAGGAGAAGAAAGCTAGAGTTCAGGAAATTGAATACGCTTCTTTTCTCAGGGAATTCCCAAATATTTAAGCTCAAGGTTTCTCATAACTTATTTCTTTGAAAAATAGTTAAGACATAATGTCTAATTAAAAGAGCAAAACACAAAATTATATATACAATTAACACACTGAAAAATGGTGGAAGTTTTTTGACTTCATTATATTTCTCCAAACTTTTCAAATTTCCTATTATAGATACATATTACATCCAGGGATAAAAATAAACTAATTGAAATACTTTGAACCTATACTTGGGGGGGGAGGGGAACCAAATTTCCCATACAGTAGTCTCATATTTCCCAAATACTCATACAGGCTACATCAAAATCACCTGAAACATTTGTAAAAAATACAAATTTTCAGGACCCAAAGACCTACTCAGTCAGAATTTCCCTGGGCAAGGCCCAGGAATCTGGTGTTTCAACAAGCTCCGTAAGTGACTATAATAATTTATAGCAAGGAAGTCCAAAAGTATCTTCACTTTTCTTTTTCTTTCTAAGGTTCTATGATGATTTATTTAATGCTAGGACAAATTCATATTGAAAGGCAAAAACATAATATTTAACAGTGACTGTGCTATAGACTTGGAAAGCCTAATGTCTCACCATTTATCTCTGCAAACTTCTGAACATCACTTATGGTTTTCAGTTCTTGTGTTGGACATGCTGCTACACACAGTGCTATAGACTTGATCTTCCTGTTTATCAAGTCCAGATTGCATGGATCCAAAAAGAATACATACCTAAAGCATGAAGAAAAATGTTGAGATATTATTTCACAAAACATAGTCTGGTTCACTGCATATTTGAATAAACCTAAGAGCAAAGAACATCTCATTACATTCTACTTCACAAATTTAATCATACATGAACAAACATTTCATAAATCTAATCACACAGTAATTTAAAGAAAAAGTTAACTGCTTATAAATATACTCTTAACAGTAGGGATGGAGGAACTACAGAACTCATTTTTAATGATCTATTTTTCTAATATTTAAAGTTTTGTAATGTGTATTTTGTAATCAGAAATGATCTATTTTAGTTTTTTTTAAAAAAATAACTAGCTTTAGTTTTCTTTTTTTGACAAATTGTACCCCCCAAATTACTGCTATATAACATGAATTATACTTTATACATAAACTTTAATGAATACATAATCATATATAAAGCATATCATTATAAAAATGAACAAATATATACAAGGGTAGCCAAGATGACTGAGTAAGAAGACCCTGAACTTATCTCCTCATGTGGGCACACCAAAATGACAAGTATTTACAGAGCCACTATTGATGAGAATGACCTGATGACTAGCAGAAAAGATTTTCCACAATTAAAGATATAAAGAAGGAATGACAATGAGATGAACAGATGGGCGGAGACATGGTACAGGCAAGATCCACATCCCTGGCTAGGCAACCCACAAATGGGAGAATAATCACAACTGCAGAAGTTCTGCTCAAGGAGAGAAGGATCCAAGCCCCATAATGGGCCCTCAGTCCAGGGACTCTGCACCAGGAAAACAAGCCTCCAGAATATCTAGCATTGAAGATGAGCAGGGTTTGTGCACAGGGGAGTCTTAAAGGACACACATGAAACCTCACAAAACCCCATATAAATGCTGCCTACAAAGGAGCACTTCAGATCTAAAGACAGATACAGACTGAAAGTGAGGGAATGGAAAAAGGGATTGCATGCAAATGGAAACAAAAAGAAACCTGGAGTAGCAATACTTAGAACAGACAAAATGGACTTTAAAACAAAGACTATAGCAAGAAACAAAGAAGCATATTACATAATGATCAGGGATTGATCCAAGAAGCAGATATAACAATTGCAAATATAAATGTACCCAACATACATATTTTGGGGAAAAAAATGTTAACAGTGACAGACTATTTTCTTGGGCTTCAAAATCATTGTACACAGTGACTGCAGCCATGAAATTAAAAGACACTTGCTCCTTGGGAGAAAAGCTATGACAAATATAGACAGTGTATTAAAAAACAAAGACAGTACTTTGCTGACAAAGGTCTGTGGAGTCAAAGTGATGATTTTTCCAGTAGTCATGTATGGATGTGAGAGTTGGACCATAAAGAAGGTTGAACACTGAAGAATTTATGCTTTTGAACTGCAGTGCTGGAGAAGACTCTTGAGAGTCCCTTGGACTGCAAGGAGATCAAACCAGTCAATCCTAAAGGAAATCAACTCTGAATATTCACTGGAAAGACTGATGCTAAAACTGAAGCTCCAATACTTTGGCCACCTGATGTGAAGAGCCAACACATTGGAAAAGACCCTGATACTGGGAAAGACTGAAGGCAGGAGGAGAGGGGACGACAGAGAATGAAATGGTTGGATGGCATCACTGATTCAACGGACATGAGTCTGACCAAACTCAGGGAGATAGTGAAGGAAAGGGAAGCCTGGCATATGGGGTCACCAAGAAGCAGACATGATTGAGCGAGTTTACAAGGTACCCAACACTTAAACACGTGAAGCAAACATTAGTAGACATTGAGAGAAATTGACAGTAACACAATAATAGTAGGGGACTTTAACACCCTACTGACATCAATGGACCAAAAGTCAATAAGGAAACACTGGCCTTAAATGACACATTCAATCAGAACTTAACTAATACATAGAGACCATTCTATCCAAAAGCACCAGGATACACATTCTTTTCGAGTGCACACAGAACGAAGTCTCAGATGGGCCACATGCTAGGCCATAAGGCAAATCTCAATAAATCTAGGAAGACTGAAATCATATTAAGCACCTTTTCTGGTCATAGTAGTATTAAAATCAGAAATCAACTACAAAAAAAACCCAACTGCAAAACTCACAAACATGTGGCAGGTAGACAATATGCTACTAAACAGGCAATGGAGACATGGTACAGGCCAGATCCACACCTCTCGGCAGGCAACCCACAAATGGGTTGAACTCAAAGAGGAAATGTTAATATACCTGGAGACAAATGAAAAATACAGAAATACAACAATTCAAAATCTATGGCGTCCAGCAAGAGTAGCTCTAGGAGGAAAGTTTATGGTGATTCAAGTTTGCCTCAGAAGTTTAAGAAATTTCAAATAAGAAGCCCAACCATACACCTACAGGAACTGGGAAAAGAAGAACAAACAAAACACAAAGTTAATAAGAGGAAAGAAAGAATGAAGGTCAGAGCAAAAGTAAAATAAAAGTGACAAAAAATGATAGAAATGGTCAATGAAAAACGTATGGGTTCTTTGAAAAGACAAACAAAACTGATAAGCTTTTAAGCCAGACTCATCAGGAAAAAAGAGAAGGCCCAAATAAATAAAATCAGAAATGAGAGAAAGTTACAACCAACACTACAGAAATACCAAGGGTCACAACAGATTACTATGAACAATTATATGATAATAAAATGCAATCTAGAAAATGCATAAATTCCTAGAAACATACAATCTCACAAGACTGAATCAGGAAGAAACAGAAAATAAGAATACACTGATTACCAGTAAGGAAATTGAATAAGTAATCAAAAAACTCCCAACAAACCAGCTTCACAGGTGAATTCTACCAAACACTTAAAGAAGAATTAACACCTACTCTTCTCAAGTTATACCAAAAAATTGAAAAGGAAAGAATGCTTCCAAAGTCATTCTATGAGGCCAGCATCATTCTGATAACAAAGCTAGACAAAGACATCACAAAAAAAGAAAATTACAAGCCAGTAACACTGATGGATGCAAAATTTCTCAACAGAATATCAGCAAACCGAATTCAATACATTTAAAAGATGATTTTAAATTTAAAATGATCAAATGGCACTTATCCTGGGGATGCAAGGATGATTTAACATCTCTAAATCAATCAATGTGATATACCACATTAACAAATTGAAAAATAAAAATCACATGGTCATCTCAATAGATGTGGAAAAAAAACTTTGGGCAAAATCCACCACCGAATTGTGATAAAAACTGTCAATAAAGTGGGCATAGAGGGAACATACCTCAAATATAATAAAGGCCATTTACGACAAGCTCACAGCTAACATCATACTCAATGGTGTAAAGCTGAAAGCAGTACCTCTAAAATCAGGAACAAGACAAGGGTGACCACTCTTGTGACTTTATTCAACATAGTACTGGAAGTCCTACTACAGAAATCAGACAAGAAAAAGAAATAAAAGGAATCCAAACTGGAAAGGAAGAAGTAAAACTATCATTGCTAGCATATGACTTAAAACTATGTACAGTAAATCCTAAAGATGTCACCAAAAACTATTAGAACTCATCAATGAGTTCAGTAACATAACTAGATAACAAAATTAATATACAAAAATCTGATGTGTTTCTATATACTAACAAGCTATCAGAATGAGAAATTAAGGAAACAAGCCATTTACAATTGCATTAAAAAAAAAAAAGGCCCTAGGAATAAATCTAACCCAAGAAAGTAGGAGAGCTACATTCAGAAAACTCTAAGACAGTGATGAAAGAAACTGAACATGATGTAAACAAATGGATACATACATCATACCCAGGTGATGCAGTTGGTTTAAAAAAAAAAAAAAATCCACCTGCCAGTGCAGAAGACACAAGAGATGCTGGTTCGATCCCTGGGTCAGGAAGATCCCCTGGAGGAGGAAATGGCAACCCACTCTGGTATTCTTGCCTGGAAAATTCTATGGAGAGAAGCCTGGTGGGCTACAGTCCATGGGGTCACAAAGAGTCAGACACAACTGAGTGTGCACACACACGCACTCATGGACTGTAAGAACTACTACTGTTAAAATTACCATACTCCCCAACACAATCTATAGATTCAATGGTACTTTTCACAGAATTACAACAGATAATTCTAAAATTTGTATGGAAACAACAAAGCTACAAATAGCCAAAACAATCTGAGAAAGAAGAACAAAGCTGGAGGTATCATGCTCTCTCATTTCAAAGTGTACTACAAAGCTAAGGTAATCAAACTTGTGTGGTACAAAAACAGAAAAACGCAACAGAATACAGCCAGAAATAAACCCATGCACTCATGATCAATAAATCTATGACAAAGAAGACAAGAATATACAATGGGGAAAAGACAGTCTTCTCCATAAATCATGTTAGGAAAACTGGACAGCCACAGGCAAAAAAACCAAACTGACCTACTTCCTCACACCATACAAAAAATAATCGCATAATGGATTAAAGACTTAAATGTAAAATCTGAAACCATAAAATTACTAAAAGAAAAGATAGGCAATATGCTCTCAGACATTCATCTTAGCAATTTCTTGGATCTGTCTCTGCAAGCAAGGGAAACAAAAGCAAAAATAAACTAATGGTACTACATGAAACTTAAAAGCTTTTGCACAGCAAAGGACCTATCAATGAAATGAAAAGTCCAGCTATTGCATGGGAGAAGATATTTGCAAATGATATGTCCAATAAGGGGTTAATATCCAAAATATACAACAAACTCATATAACTCAACATCAGAAAAACAAACAAACAAAAAAAAAAGAAAAACAACTCAATTAAAAAATGGGCAGAGGGGCAGAACAGACATTTTCTCAAGAAGAAATACAGGTGGGCAGTATGAACATAAAAAGATGCTCAACATCACTAATCATCAGTGAAACAAAAGTCAAAACCATAATGAGATATCACCTCACATCTGTCAGAATGGATATTATTAGAAATACAGCAAGTAACAAGTATTGGCAGGGATGTGAAGAAAAGGTAACCCTCAT